AAAGCATATTGGAAAACTGAAAGGGTGACATCAAACTAGACGATTTGCCAGTTATACACTTTCCTTGATGGTTTGCACCTCTGATAAAGCACACAGCTAGAAATATAGTTTTACACAGAAAATACAAGAATTGAGAGGCTGTATTATCAGGTGTCTATGTGAAGGTAGCCAAGCCCTAATGAGGTGCAGTGAGGACATCTGTATGACTCATGCTCACTTTTCTTTAGTGCCATCTCTTTACTTTGTTTCTGCTGTCAGACTAAAAATTCCAGTAATATTATTGCGAACCAAAGGAAAGGTGGAATTCTTTGCAGTGCTGTAAACTCATACAAAAAATCAATTTCATTCAGTTTTAATTATTAAGCGCCAAATAACTGTCGCCTTAAAAGTAAAGATGCTAAAGCGTTAGAGAGAACAATAAAAAACACCAGAAAACTCCCCCTGAGCAAGCATTTGGTGACAGTGGGAAGGAAAGACACAGTTTTAACAGGAAGGAAACTCTGACAGAACCAAACTTGTTCACACTGCTGATATCTACGTCTCCCTCCCCCTTCTTCCTCAGATGAGCTGAAGCACATCATCGGAGCCGATACCACGAGGAAGGGCATCCTCCGCGTCTTTGACATGTTTCAGTACCAACCCATGAACCGTCGCCTAGTCTACGTTTTCCTGGAGGGCTTCCTGGAGACCATGTTCCCTCAGTACAAATTCCCCGAGCTCTTTGTCAAGCTGCACTCCCGTTCGCCACGCATCCATAGATACAACCAGAAACTGAAATCCACCTCCCTCAAGAGGTGACAGGAGAGGACAGAGGCAGCAGGACAAGGGCCGATAAGATACACAGACTTGAGAGCTGAGGGTGTGAGTGGCAGTGGTGGGGATTGATATGACTGTTGTTGAGGGGTGTGTGTGTGTGTGAGAGAGAGAGAATTCTGCCCTTCCTCTTCCCTCACACATTGCTGAAGGTGAAATCACTCCATTTTATCTGGCTGATTATTTCTGTCAAGACAGAAACGAAGGATGTGTAACACTTGGACACACGCGCAAACACAAATCTCATAATTTGCACCAAGACTGAACTTGGCTGTGTTTTCTTTTTAGTTCCCCTGCTCCATTTGAGACTTTTTTTTGTTGTTGTTGTTGTGTTGAGCGTCATTCTGGGCCAGCTGATGCTGCTTTTTCATGGTCCAGAGAGCGCAACCACAGATATCGTTGTTTTTAAACTGCAGGACTCAATAGCATTAGACCCACACCTTGCCTTACCTTCCTGCTTCTATCTGTTGGCCAGTGCGGTCCTCCTCCACGTCAGCGAAGTGGCCGCACAGCTGTAATCAAACCCACCCTCATGCTGTAGACATCTAAGCTGCAAAAATCACTTGCAAACTGTGTTTTCGCAACCAAAAAACGTCGATTGCACTGGGTTTAAGAGCCGCTGTTTTTAAAATGTGACAGATATCTTTTTTTTTTTCTCTCCTCAGCCTCAGTGCTTGTCTTGACTTTCTTCCACCCTTGCTCTCTCTCTCTTAAGTCTTAGATCACCTGTACTTCCCTCGATCATCCAATCAAAGAACCCTTTTTAATGCTACTCTCATATCCTGCAGCAACCAAAGCTCATGCTGTTCGTATGTGTGTGTACTGTTCTGACATTGGGGAAACATTACTGTGTTTCATATCACGTAAAGAAAAAGAATGCAACGTTGACCTTTAATGACCTTTAAGGTGAGGCTGTGACGACACACTGAGGTGTGTTATTGTCAGGAACTATTCAAGAATGTACTCTCTGGTCGGTTCTGTATCTGGCTTGAGCAGAAGTCTGTGTGTGTGCGTGTGTGTGTGTGTGTGGTTAGCACAAAGATGCAACCCTCTTCTGTCAGAAACTGTGCCAGTGTGAGCTAGGGGAACCAGCCTTAAGTCTATATACAGTGTACACTGATCAAGAGATGCACGCTAGAGGTAACTCTCCTTCACATGACTGAACATAACAAGGAAATCAGGACAGAGATATGGAGATGTGTCCCTAACCACCTTTGGTCAGAGGAAAAACGACTTGGATTTGGTGCAATATTTTTTTTTGTTTTCTTTAAGGCATGTGCATTTTTGAATCATTGTATTACTGAAAATTGTTTTAATAGTAGAAAAAGCGAGAGCTCTTTTCCCAGAGATGTCCTTTTACCCCAGACAACTTAACATTCCGTTGTTATAAAAGTACAATGTTTAATTTTACAGACTTGTTTTATAAGTCTGATTTTTCTTTTTTAGTTTTTGTTTTTTTTCTTTTCGGTGTGCAGGGGGTTATTTTCCCATTCATCCCCAGCTGACTCTTGCAGAAATAATCAGAGATGATTATTAGACTGTGGTGGGGGGGACAGCTACTTCAGAGGTGGCCTTGAACAACTGCTCTTTCTTTCATGCATTGAAGCCTGTGAAGTGTGAAAAGAGGTTTGTTATTATGAACTGACCGCTGAAAAGACACTCCCACCCCCCACTCACCCCCCTTCGACACCCAAAAATTGGGTGAGACAGGTTCACAGAAGAGCTGTGTCTTGTGACCACTAGAATCACTACTAATAAGCACTTACTGTAGCAAGTGTGGGAGTCCCACTCCCCCATTGACTAAACGGCGCCCCATTCTGCTGCAGTCATTGGACGGAAACTTCCTCGTCTGCTGTGATTTGCTTGCACCGAGCTGCCCCGATGGACTCTGATTGGCTGAGCATGATAACATGGCTTGGACTGGACTGGAGCCTCTCTTACTGGGAGGTGAATAATGTGTCCCTTATGATGGCGAAGGCGGTATCACCTTTAACTTTCTGCACACCTCTCCATACAGGAAGGCTCATGTTTTTTTTAACCCCAGTATATATGAATATGATAATGAAAATTGTGCATATCTGTGTACAGTATGTGTTAATAGTGTGCCTAAATGTACTGTCAACTCTATTTTCATATTTTTCTTTAACCTAAAAAAAAAAAGAAAAGAAAACATCAGAATGTCATGATCATTTTAAGCGACTGAAAAATGACTTTAGGGTGTTTTGGTTTATTTTGGCATCATGCTTATCAAAATTTTCCTTGTGAGCATTGTGCTCAGAACAGTACAACACTAATAAAAAGATAACTCAGACTAACTGAACCACAGTGTGCATGGTGTGTAAGTATTTGCTTGCAGCATTTCTTTTTTTGTAAAGACTTCATTCAATTGGAAACGGTATGTAACTGCTATTTTTTTTTTTCACACTGCTGAAGGGTTTCCTAACAGCTTCTGGAAGATCAGTCACATGAGGCGGACTTATTGGTGCTCTGGAAATTGGAAAGTCCTCCAACAGGTGTGTAGAGCTTCTGTGTGAGCTGCTATAGTGTGATAAGTGCAGTCCTGACACTTTTGGGCACTGTTTCTTTATCAGTAACACAGATGGCTGCCACGTGCAGCAAAAAACACAAATGCAAAGTATGGAAAAACAAAAGGTAAACAATCACAGGAGCAGCAACTGACGAGAAAGCTACAGATTTAAAGTTAAATCAGGGTCATGTGCTTTATTAAACACTGAGTTAATTCAGTAATCTTTTTGATAATCACCATGTCGACTCAAGACTTAAACTGTTTTTAATACTTGGGAGGTTGTCCTGAGACATCAAGGCAGTTTGACCTAATTCACTGTTTTTATAGTAACTATTTAGTCACAAACTGTGTGCTACCTGCAGAGGTTTTGAACTGTAATCTCCAGGTAGTGTTCAAGTGATATACTAGTGAACCAAGATGCAAAATGGCACGGTTTCATGCACCCACTGTCAGTTTAACCGTGCTTTTTCTGTTTTGACATTTTAAAAAGTGTGAAAAAGGTCAGTCAGTGACAACCTAATGATGAGAGCTGAGTATACAAGTAGTGTGCATCACCATTGGTTTCACTTTTTTGTACTACAATAAATCGTCTTTAATGCAGGTAATATAACGAGTCAACATTATTTACCACACACGTCTGATGCTGATAAAGAGACTTAAACTCACACATATAGACAAATAGTTGTTTTAATTTAAGAAGTCAGCAGCTTCCAGCAGTAGAGTACATAGTCCAGCCATACAACGTCAGCACACATCCACTGTCATTACAGGTCTCTGTGGGCTGTCCAGAGCAGTATCTTTGCCTCGGTGTTCGGTGAATGACCCCACGCAGTCCTGAGCTCATTTACACGCACGCTTTCTACAGAGTCCTCAAGTCTTCCTCTGCGCTTTTCCTACAGGATCCGTGATGACAACTACCCCCCAGGCAGCCAAACCTTGAACACAAGTGCGCATTTCTTCATTAAAAGACTCCTGATGCAGCAAACAGTCAGAAAACTGATTGACTTACTTGCAGCGAAAGTGATCTGTGCCACTGTCCCCATAGAGGTGGGTCCTCCCTGCCGCATCACCTTCCGCGCTGCGTGAAACACATAAGCTCCAGACAGAATCAGCCCACCTCCGGAGATAAGCCTGCAGCTCCAGCAGCTCTTAAACATCTGGCTGGGTTTGGACACGGGGGCATCTGCTCCTCCTGTTGGCGGCTCTGGCCCTGTTGACATTGTACCACAGGGTGCTGCTAATGCTAATGCCCTTGGTTATAAACTCCTAGAAACGTCAAACATGAAAAATAAACCGGAAACTGTTCCGGTTTTGTTTGAATAACTCGCCCAAATGAACAACAAAGTTAGAGACTTAACACAAATGCTATTTTCACTGGCTGAAGAAAGGTCGGATTTAGCAAAGTGGTTCCAGGTCATGGCACTAATGTTTCCTATCTGGTATTTTCAAAATAAAAGTTGTACTTTGCCACTCGAAACAAACGCTGGTCTTTGGGGGAGGGACAAAGATCGACAGAAAACATAAAAACACTGTGATAAATATTTAACAATTGTCCATTAATAAAAACATATTGTCTTATTTCATCTATTTCTAAGAGGAAATTTCTTTCCAAAAGAAGTTGCAATTTCATTTTAAATGTGAACTTACCGATCTAAAGGTATATTGAATTCATATTCCGTATTCAGTTTGGTGAAGTGACAGAGCTCATTATACAGGTGCATGTGGTACTAAAAGGAAAAGCCTGACTCACAAAAAAATAACTGCCAGACTTATTGAACCTTCTGATAATTGAATCAGAAGGTTAATATATATATATATATATATATATATCAGAAAGAAGTAAAAAATGAATTAGAAGAGGCAAACATGGAAAATCAAAAAGTAAACAATAACACAGACATTGTAAAACAGAAAACTGAAACAGCAAAGAAGAAGTTCCTGGAAATCCAAGAGCCCTTGAAGAAATTTAAAAAGGAATAGAAGAGGCAAAGAGAGAAAATGAAATAACAAAAAAGAAAATGCAACGATTGAAAGACAAATTGCAAAGATGGAAGCCAAAAATGCAAAGAGGGAATAGGCCCAAGTATCCTCTCCATCATCAACAATTCTTTGTCTACTAGTGTTATGCCATCTGTCTTCAAGCAGGCAGGTGGTTGTTCAGCCTCTGCTAAAAATGATCAACATATCTCTAAAATTCAATTCCTTTGATACGTTTTGGAAAAAGTCATTCTTCATTAACTTCCTCCTCACTTACAACACAACCTTTTTGAGAAGTTCCAGTCAGGTTTCATGGTCAATCACAGTACAGAGCCTGGCCTACTAAAAGTTTCTAATCATCTGACCTTGAGTGCTGTTATTTATTTTTGCATGTACTTAAAGTCTTGATGGTACAAAATAATCTTGTTGTTTGGTAATGTCCTAAATAAAGTTGCTTTGCTCTTGTTTTTTTCAAGTTTCCGGCTAATGTAACACATCCTTGGGTCTGTTTTTGGAAAATCACACTGCTTGGCACGAGGAGTTTCTTATAATGTCTTAACTAGAAAATTGAGCTGAGTCATCGTGCCTCGTGGATGACTTTTGCCCTCTTCTATTAGCGCACAGCCGGCATGCCTCGTGTGAAGGAAACTGGAAGAAAGATGTTGTTCGTCATAGCTGTTGTCAGTGTTTATTTGGCATCTGTCATCAGTCCAATGGACTCCACTGCAGACTCATCGTATGTTGCCGCTGTGTACGAGCACAAAGTAATCCTGAATCCGGACCCCCGCACACCCGTATCCCGCCACGAAGCTCTGCAGCACATGCAGAAAAACCTGGATATCTACGAGGAGCAGGCAGCCCGGGCAGCCCAGCAAGTATGCACACATTTAAATGTTGTGTTTCATGTTTTTAGTCACATGATAGCTTGACTCAATGAATTGTAGCAACTTCTGTTGAGATGTTCTTCAAATGAATGAACTTGTAATGGACAAAAATTAATATAGTTAAGGCTACTGCAGAAGAAAATCAAGACAAACATGATTCAAAAGCCTTACAGTAAGGCTTCCTTTATCTCTGACTTTTTACTGAACTGGTAATTGATGTTCATATGGTCTAATATGACAACTGTCCACCCTTTAGTATCACTTTATAGCTGTTGGTCGACAGTTATTAATGCTTCACCCTGTATGAAGTTTACTGTCACTACCAGAGGAGTAGTCCTGCCATAACGCATAGGAGCAGACTATATTGTAAACTATATGTATATATGTCTGTATACACACAACTATATATATATGTTTGTGTGTGTGTGTGTGTACATACATGCATGTAAAATATTTGTATGTAAATGTGTTTATGTAAAACTCTGACTTTAACAGTACTGTGAAAAGTTCACGAGAGAATACCTGAGTAAGAGAGATGGACTCAAACGTGGAGAGAGACAGGCAACTAAAAAGACATCCAGAGAGGAGAGCTGATGAACATCATCACACAGATCACTTTATGTTGTTAAATTCAGTGTGACATTTGAGCAAGTAGAAATAAGTAACTCAAAAATTACTGCAACAGACTTCATATCTCTCTGTCATCTTCGTTTCACTCTCAGGGGGCCCAGATCTTGGTGTTTCCAGAAAATGGTATTCATGGGTTTAACTTCACTCGGTTATCCATCGTTGGCTACCTGGAAACCATTCCCAACCCTCAGGAGGAGAGCTGGAATCCGTGCACGGAGCCGGAAAGACACAACAACACTGAGGTTCACAGTCATATATTTAGATTTTGTGATGGCAAGAAAGCTCTACTCTCACGACATCTCGCTGTGTCTGAATCTAATCATATTTGATTACTCAAAGGTTCTCCAGAGATTGAGCTGTATGGCTCGTCGTAACAACCTCTACCTGGTGGCCAACATGCCCGACCTGCAACCCTGTCCCCTGAAGACCAGCCCCTCCTCCACCTGTCCTCCTGATGGGCGCTGGCAGTTCAACACAAATGTGGCTTTCAGGTACATGTTAACTCTTAATATGGATTTTTAGAGAACGGACAAATAAAAGGTTTATTTTTCTATGACTTCTTGTCCACAGATGCAGTGCTTGTGCCTAAATAAAAGAGCAGTTCTCCACATTTCCATCAAAAAATGTTGGCACTACTGCCAAAAATACCACAGAGTCAAAGCTGAAACTTCTCTTGTCAGTAGCTACTAGAGAAGCTACTGCAAGAAATACCAGCTACACTGAATACAACAACTACAGTGGTGGAAATAATTATTTGATCCCCTGCTGAATGTGTAATTTTGGTCACATCCAATCAAATGAATGGAAAGAGACAGACTATAAACCAAAAATCCAGAAAAAATATTTAGTAATAAATTGATTTTGATGGCATTAAGTTAAATAAATATTTTATCCCCAAGCAAAACTTTATGATTGGCAAAGAAACCCTTTTTGGCAAGCAGTGGTACAACATTTGTTGTAGTTGGTTACCAAGTTCGCAGATTTCAGGAGGGGGTTTTGGCCCACTCTTCTATACAGAAACCTTTGAAATCCTTTAGGTTTCTTGGCTCCTGCTTGGCAATCTGCAGTTTCAGCTCCCTCCTCAGATTTTCTATAAGACTGAGGTCTGGAGCCTGGCTAGGCCACTCCCTGACATTAATGTGCTTCTTCTTCAGCCACTCCTTTGTTGCATTGGTTGTGTGTTTTGGGTCATTGTCATGTCAGGACGACCCATCCACGACCCATCTTCAATGTTCTAGCTGAAGGAAGGAGGTTATCGTCCAAGGTTTCACAGTACATGACCCTGTTCAGTACAGTGAAGTT